CCAGGTTAGAGCCTGCCTTTGTGCTCCAGCTCCAGTGTCTGCGACTCTGCGCCCAGGGCCACCTCTGCTGCTAAGGGCCTGGGCCTGGGCCCTTTTTGGTTGGGCACGTCCAGGCAGCCGTCCAGGCTCCATGTGTTTGCTGCATTCTCATTGGCTCGTGGGTGTTGTGTGACGACAATGCTGCTTTCTCTTTCTTCCGGGGCCCATGCATGATGTGTCGGCGTCCCACTGTGTGTGCCCAGGGCGCAGCCGACCGGGGCCCTGGGCTCAACTGTGCCACGCAGCTGTTGCGTCTGGAGGAGCCAGGAAAGGCCCACATTGCTTTGTAACCAACTGGCGTGCTGCAACTGTCTGATACCCCACATATCTGATACGCCAGGCCTCACGTGGATATTCAGGCCTGCCTTCACTTAGGGCGGCCACAATGCTTGCTGGGGGCCAAAGCCCGGAACACTTGCATGTCTGTAAGGGCCCCCTGAGGGCTCAATTCTCGCAGTCGTCTAAATCAAAATTGATTCCTTACTTCGGATCGAGTATGGAAGGGTTAACTAAGTACACCTTGCCTTCGACATAGACACAAAAGGGTAACCGTTATTCTGTGCCTATTCATGTTATTGAAGTTGAAGAGGAAATCAGCGATCTGCGCTATCTTTTCCTCAGAGTCTACGCTGATGAAAACATTTCCCATTGTGCCAGCATGCATAGAAGAGGACTAAATGAATGTCTTCAGCTACGGCAGATGGACTGTACCCTACAGTCTTCCACCGAATACAGCGTACGGTCATAATAGCTGAATTTTTACTGAAAGATACACCAAATTTAGCTATAATGACCGGACGTTGTATTCGCGGGAAGAATGTAGCCCTGCTATGTCGAGTACAAACAGCAGCTACCTAACATCTCGTTGAAACTTGCATCAATCAAATGACGGAACTCGACAAATGATCCCTCTAGTATGATTCTTCGTGCAAGAAAACGTGACGTTCTCCCCTACATGCGGCATTGGATACCGGGAGAGAGAAATCATGTACAACCACTCCACGAAGAAAGCACACCGTTTGTATGAAGATATATGTACACGATTCATCGTTGAGAAGGAACATATGAAGCAATTAAACAAACAAACAAAAAAAAAAACATATGAAGCACATTGCCATGTTCAGAGTCACATACTTGAGCATTGTCAACGAATCCTTGTTCGATGACTTTTTTTTTTTTTTAACACACAAACACACTCGCCGCTTCTATTCTGGGGGGCAACAGCCGGGTTGCTTATTACCAGCAAGCAGGCAGTCAAACGATCATGAAACAGAGTAATAGTAGAGCAAGAAAGGTCTACAGGCCAAGCCCAAGACACCCGACGGCAGTGACTTTCTTTTTTTTTTTTTTTTTTTTTTGGCAGTGACATTTCGATCACTGCTCCGTGGAACGCTTTGTACTACTAGTAGCTTTTAAGCTGACCAGCTGTAGAATGCATAACTCGATTCGAAGGCATTGTCGTTGGGCCTTGTCAAGAAAGAAGCACTACTGATTTGAGGCTGCTGGCTACTGCGCTGATGAACGCTGGATACTTGTGCTCCGAAAATTGTATAATACGACAATTCATTGAAGTTTCTTGAGTTGCACTAATGTAGTCATGTGGTCACTGTGGTGTTCCCACTTCTTGTCAGACTTGTCTTGGTGTGAATCTTCATCAGACTTCATGTGAACTTATCAGTGTGCATGATGTCTGATGGCCCGTGATGGGGCCAGGAAGAGCGGGTGGCATCGTCGCCTGACTGCACAGGCAAATTCGAAGGCGTCCCCTGTGCCGCCACACTTCAAATTTCACCCACCCACCCAACCACCCACTTCTTTTCTTTTCCTGTCAGGGAATGGGAAGGGCGCTTCTGATATCTGCCGTATGTATTCATTTAAAAGAAAGGAAAAACACTGCACACCAAACAAAGGAAGGAAAAAAAATCTCTCTCTCTCTCTCTCTCTCTCTCTCTCTCTCTCTCTCTCTCTCTCTCTCTCTCTCTCTCTCTCT